CCACCCCCCAACATCTTCTAGTAGTGGAGCCAGTTGTTCAAATGAGAGATTTGGAAACAATCACTCAAAACAAAAGAGCTCAATTCTATTTGACTATTTCTCCTCTCTGATTGGTTAGAATCAGAGACTATATGCCTGGGAAATCAATCAGAATGTTGTTCTTTAGTAACAAGCCACTCAGGAGTTGTCACTCCACTATGACAATATCTATTTGGCAGTGAAGAATGAATCCAGATGTCTCTTCATGTCAGAGCATCATTTAAATGCCTTGAGTTAATTTCTGTAGCTGTCTATTATAGCTGCCTACAACATACCTAAACTGCTCTTGCCTCAAGTAAGACAGAATCAAAACAAGCTACAGGGCATCCATTCAGATCTGTGAACCTTAAATGAATGTTGGTAGGTTACTCACTGACATCTGCCTTGCAATGCACTGAGCAACACTAAGCTACATCTTCTTGCTCTACACTGCTCTTAACCAGAAGGTCTCATTTCTTTGACATATGATGCATGAATTTTTTTAGATTAAATATTCCAGGTATATTGCTAGCAGAACCACAAGCTGAGAGATCATTTTTATTGATGAATATATTACCATCAAATTTCAATTCATGGTCACCATGGAGAGTGGTAATATAAGCTGTCACTCCCTTGCTCATTTGTGCCCCAGGAGAATAATGGACTAACGGAGTTGGAAGGTACCTTGGAGGTCTTCTGGTCCAACCACACCCAAGCAGGAGACCCTATCCCATTCTGGACAAATGGTTGTCCAATCTCTTCTTAAAAACCTCCAGTGATGGAGCACCGATTATTTCTGAAAACAAGCTGTTCCACTGGTTTTAATTGTTCTGTTAGGAAATTTCTCCTTAGTTCTAGACACCACTTAAAAATCAGCCAGCAGCGTGCTGCACACTGCTGGCTCATTTTTAAGTGATTGTCTCCCCAGCACTCCTAGATTCCTCTTGCAGTTGCTGCTTTTGAACCAGGTTCCACATATTCTATATCTGTACATTTGATTTGTCTTGCCTATATGTAAAACCTTACTTTTCTCAACAGTGAATTTCATTTTGTTAGATAGGGCCCAGTGTTCAAGTCTGTTGAGATCCTTCTGGATCTTGAGTCTATCTTCTGGGATGTTGGCTATTTCTGCCAGCTTGGTGTCATCTCCAAATTTCATTAGTTCATTCCCTCATCTAAATCATTTATGAAGATTTCAATATCTTCAGTGAGTACTGGGCCCAAAACAGAACCTTGGATTACTTCCATGTAGATCAGACGTCTTCAAACTCGGCCCTTTTATGACTCATGGACTTCAACTCCCAGAATTCCTCAGCCAGCGTGCTGAGGAATTCTGGGAGTTGAAGTCCATGAGTCATAAAAGGGCTGAGTTAGAAGACTCCTGATGTAGATGCAGTTCCATTAAGTGCAGTTTGTCAGCCAGTTACAAATCCATTTTGCTAATTTTGCTAATTTACTAAGAAGTAGATTGTGTTCTACTTTGTCAAATGCCTTATTGAAATGCAAGTATACTATGTCCACAGCATTTCATTGTTCCACTAATTAATTCATTAAATTAGTGGACCACTGAATTTAGAAATTAGTGCACTAATTTAGAATTAGTATATATTCTAATTTATAAATTTAATATTTTCTAATTCAGAAATATATTAGAAATTTAGAAATTAGAAATTAGTGGAAACTTTAGAAACTAATAATAATAACAACAACAACAACAACAATAATAATAATAATAATAAAGTTGGAAGGGACCTTGGAGGTCATCGAGTCCAACTCCCTGCTCAGGCAGGAACTCTACACTATTTTAGACAAATGGCTGTTCAGTCTTAAAAACTTCCAGTGTTGGAACATTCACCGCTTCTGGAAGCAGGTTGTTCCATTGGTTAATTGTTCTGTCAGGAAGTTTCTCCTTAGTTCTAAGTTGCTTCTCTCCTTGATCAGTTTCCATCCGTTGCTTCTTGTCCTGCCTTCAGGTGTCTTGGAGAATAGCTTGACTCCCTCTTCTTTGTGGCAGCCCCTGAGATATTGGAAGATTGCTATCATGTCCCCCCTCGTCCTTCTCTTCGTTAAACTAGACATACCCAATTCCAGCAACCGTTCCTTATATGTTTTAGCCTCCAGTCCCCTAATCATCTTTGTTGCTCTTCTCTGTACTCTTTCTAGAGTCTCAGCATCTTTTTTACATCGTGGTGACCAAAACTGGATGCAGTGTTCCAAGCGTGGCCATACCAAGGCATTGTAAAGTGGTATTAATACTTCACGTGATCTTGATTCTATCCCTCTGTTAATGCAGGACCAGCACTGTGTTGGCTTTTTTGGCAGCTGCAGCACACTGCTGGTCATATTTAAGTGATTGTCTACTAGGACTCCAAGATCCCTCTCACAGTTACTACTATTGAGCAAGGTACCCCCTATACTATACCTGTACATTTGGTTTTTCTTCCCTAAATGTAGAACCTTCCTTTTTTCACCATTGAATTTCATTTCATCCTTAGAAACCAGTGTTCATGGACAGTCAATTAACTTACTAGAAGCTGAAATAAGTTCCTTATGCTGTTATTAAAACTGATACGCTGCTCAAACCCTAACCCTAGTGACTTTAAAAAAGACTGTTCCACCCCCACCCCCGCCACCATTCTTCCTTTCTTTATTGCAGATTCTGGGGTCTACAAGACGTCTGCGTCAATTATCCTCTAGGTTTATCTTGTGAGCTGCATAATTTGAACTGCTAGCCCATTTTTAATAGCAACTAATGTTGCTGGCAAGGAAAACTGCACTGTTTGGATTCAAGAAAGTTGTTTCAAAATTCAAAATGATTTTTCTTCTCAATTGAAAGGAAAATTGCAACAACAACAAAAAATAAGTTTGAATAAGGCTCACATAAAATCCACAGCATCCTTGATACTACTACAGTGAGCTGTTCACAGAAAATAAATTTGGAAAGGACCTTTCAAAGATTGCTTGTGGGGACAGGGCAAGAGGTATGAAATGGAGCTGGAGAAAAATGAAGTTTAAAGAAAGTTACCATAGCAGAAGAGCAGATATTTTCTTTTCTGTTTCCCACTTTAAAACTAGTAGAGCAATCATTCTTTTTAAAAATATTTCTCCTTTGAAAATCATTTTTCACTCGGCTGAAATATTCAGAGTAAAGAGTGGAAATGTTGACCCTGCTGTTTTCAGGAAGTTTTTTTTATGGTGGAGTCCTATCTCTGATGCCATTTTATATATACTAAGCCCATTAAGCAGCCCATTTCTCTGTCTTTGAAACAAGGAGAACCACTTGCCTCAACTGCATCCTAATTTAGGGAAGAAATCAACTGTCCCATTGTTGATTTGTGACGAAGTAGTATTTCAGGGAAGGTTTATCACAGCTCTTATTTCTTTTAGAAATGTCTTGGAGGTGGTGGCAAAGGTTAGTTCAACACCTCCAAGCTTTGAATGCATGTCAAACTCAGAGCACGCTGGCATTTTCTTCTCAAAGCATTTGGAGGCTCAAGATAAGTCAAGAGGTTCAGTAAGAAGAATGAAAATTCACACTGGGCTTTCACACATCCCTATCAACTGCTAGAGAAGAATAAAAACATTTGATATTTGAGCTTTGCGTTGCTTATACCTCCCCAGTACAGATAAGATCCTGGTAGATGTGATGTGGGCATATTTATCCACACACCTACTTCATTTATGCCTAAAGTCAGGGACCAGGCCTCTATAAAAACAGAACATGGGTAAAGGGATGCTTTACTGATTCACCTGGCATCCTCCCCTCCTCCCCCCCTCCCTTCCTACTCTCCTTCCTTCTCTGCCTCCTCCTCCTCCTCCTCCTCTTGACATTTCTAGGCTTGGAGCAACTGGTAGGGATTAGTAAGAAAAACAGGATACGGAAAGGGTCAGGTAAGTGAGTTATTTCTCCTACATGCATGCTTCTTTTCACCCAATAATTTCTGTCCATCCCACTCTCCTATTTATCAATGAATAGTGTATTGAGTCAAATATTGTATCAGCTCCTTTCTTTATCCTGTTTCTTGCACTGTATACAGTCTCCCACTTACTGATGAAGAATAATTTCGTTACAAAAATGGTGTGATTTTGGCACTACTTGCCATTTGGGGGTTTCAATTTCTGGGCGTAGTTGCACTATATGACATGTATAGTTAGTTACAAGTCATTCCCTGGGCAATGCCAGGCATCATTAATGGCACTCCCATTGATTTGAGCTAATCTATAGCACTGGAAGGAGATGATCATCTAATGAGAAATTTACTGGACACTTCAGCTATATTGGAGCTGGCACAGCCTTACCCTTTAAGCCAAGTGGAGGAGAAATCGGGTTAGTGCTGGGTCCTGCATGCACTGTTGGCATTAAATGAATATTTAACAACAACAACAATAAGAGCAGGATGGCTAGAAGCAAAGGTCTGTTACACCTCATGGGACCTGCAGCTGTTCCTATGGGCAACAGCCAGAAGGCACAGCTGAGAGAGGGGAAACTGGCAGCCACTGTGCTTCTCTCCTTCATCTCTCGCGCTTGCTCAATTCTGTCTGTCTTTTTCTTCCTCTCTTTTGTCCTCCTCCATCTGCCTGAATCCAGAGTTCAGAAAAGTCATTGGTTACTGTGGTAACATCTGCCCTCCCCTTGCCTTCCCCTAATAACACTGTAGCCTACCCAATGGAGCAGGGAATATTTTCCCCCTCTGTACACAAAACACACATGCACACATTAAAGGGCTCTTGGCAAAGTTTAGAGCCCACCTGGCAGAGCCTTGGTTGAAAAATACCTCAATGTCTCTCAACCATCTTATGTAGAATAGGTCAGAGCAACTTCTTCCCATCAGCCTAATGACATGCTGAGGGGGAAAGAAGCACAAGAGCCATAAAGAAAGTAACAGGAGTATATTTACAGACGGGGGGGGGAGGGAGGAAGAAGGAGAGGGAGAGGGAGGGGGAGGAGGGAGAGAGGGAGGGAGGGAGAGAGGGAGGGAGAGGAGAAAAAAGAAGACAAATAATTTCAGAAGTTAAAGGTGAAACAGAAAAGGAGAAAACAAAAAGTAGGGAAACTGCTGGTGGAAGTGCCCCTGCTAGTCCTGCGGCCGTGCTGGGCCCTGATCCAGCCTCGCTCCGGACCATTGTTTCCCTGCCTGGCCCCCCAAGTCCAAGTTCATCTGGGTGTGACATCATGTCTGGTTGCTCAGGGAAACCAGACGGGCCAGACGTGACATTGGTTATGGGCTGGAAAGGGGAGCAGATCTCATTCCTGCTCTGCTCCTTCATTCACCACCAGGGAGCAACGGAGGCTAGGAAGGAAAGACAGATTGAGCTAAGAGCTGTCTTATGTGGGACAGGAGAAATGGGGGAAAATCATGTTTCCTCCCCATGGTATTCAACTTTTCTTTGTTGCTTTCACCTTCATACCATCATGATTTTCCCTTCTGTTTGTGGCATCGGCATGATTATGATTTCCCTAAATAATATAACAATCCAGTCTTTTTATTCATTGTGCAACAAAATACAGTTATTATTCAATCGTTGTAAGGTATTCTCTGCTGCACAGAAACTATAAATATGCAGATCCTTCCTCCCTGCACTGACTTTTTCTACTATGTTGAGAGTGGCTGGTATGCTCTGTGAACAGGAGTGCCAATGGCATTTAAGGGCAACCATTCATAATATCACTGGTGCTGAGCAACACACTCCTTCTCTCACCCATGCAAGTTTGAAAAGAGAGTCAGCTTTTTTCCTACATGGTGCATTCGCTGAGCAACTTAATCTCACAGCAGAGCTAGTGTAGCCTATTAAAAATCAGAAGAACAAGCAGCACAGCTCTTCTTCATTCCTTGGAAGCAATTTTATCATTTTGAACTATTTCCTCTACATTTAGATATTATTCCTCTCCCATATGTCTCTCAGGTTATATTGTTTGCTTTGTACAAGTAAATACCATGTAGAGAAAACACAAAGTCAGGATTTCTAGTTGCAGTGATTATATATGACAAAACAATGCACCATAAACTCAGTTTGCATTTTAATCCACAAAAAAAGCACCTTCTTTTCTTTTCTAGAGGATCATATGGGCGATGGTGGAGAAAAGCTTCCTGGGCAGTCAGAAGTTGGTTTCAGGAACGGATTTCTGATCAAACTCTAATCTAGGAAGTCTAGAAACTGGTAAGTGATCTTCCAGTGCTCAGCACAGATGTAATAATAATAATAATAATAATAATAATAATAATAATAATAGTTATAATTGAATACCTGGGATGCAAAATCAACAAAGAAGAAAAACAAACAAACAGTGCATCACAAAAATGGAAGGTTAGACTAGAAAATAAGATCAGTAAGTTAACATCACATGCAAGCAAGCTAGAACAGATGAAAGAAAAGAAGCTGAAGAACAAGAAGACCAAAGAATACCTAATCAAGAAATACCACTTAGAAACAAGGAAGATCAAGGAAGCACTGGAAATAATAAAGCAGCAAATAATAGCTATAGCCAGGAAAATCAGTAGATATGAAGCTCGAATTGCAAACTATAGGCAGAACCTCCAATTTCAATCCAATCAGAACCGTTTCTACCAATCCATCAATGGAGAAACTACAATAAATCAGTCAGTATCTGACAAGGAAGAAGCAGTGCAGTTCTGGAAGCAGATATGGGATAACCCAAAGAAATACAACAAGGATGCGGCTTGGTTAAAAGAGGTGGATGCAAATAAAACAGAAGTTGAAATGAAAAAACTAGTAATAACAACAAAAATGGTAGAAAAAAGAGCAAGGAAAATCAAAAATTGGTCAGCACCAGGTGAAGATGAACTGCATGGGTTTTGGTTGAAACATCTAACTGTTATACACCCACTCATTGCCAAGCAGTTCAACAATATACTACAAGGAGGAGAAATTGAAAAGTGGCTAACAACTGGGAAAACCTACCTAATAATGAAAAATCCAGCAAAAGGGGCAACACCAGGCAACTACAGGCCAATTACCTGCTTACCAACAACTTTCAAATTACTAACTGGTGTGGTAGCTGATGCAGTACAACAGCATCTAGTTGAAAACAATCTCTTTCCACCTGAGCAGAAAGGAAACCGCCCCAATAGCAGAGGAACAAAAGATCAACTCCTAATAGACAAAATGATCTTGGAAAACTGCAAGAGAAGGAAGACCAACCTGAATGTGGCATGGATTGACTACAAAAAGGCATTTGACTCTCTGCCACATGACTGGATAATCAAGTGCCTAGAAATAACAGGAGTCAGTAGAAACATCAGAAAATTTGTGCAAAGATCGATGGCACAATGGAAGACACAGTTGCAGATCAATGGTGAGAGCTGGGAGAGGTTAATATCAAGAGAGGAATATTTCAAGGAGATTCATTATCACCATTACTATTTGTTATTGCACTGTTTCCTCTGTCAACAATACTGAATAACTCAGGACATGGCTATCAAACATCAAAAACATCTGCCAGACTATCCCACCTCCTTTACATGGATGATCTGAAGCTGTATGGAAAAACATCATCTGAAATAGAATCGCTGCTCAACACTGTCCGTATATATAGCCAAGATATTGTAATGGAGTTTGGCTTGGACAAATGTGCCACACTTACTATCAAACAAGGAAAAATAGTGAAAACTGAAGGAATCAAGATGCCCCACGAAAATAACATTAAGAGTCTGGATGAGGAAGATTACTACAAATACTTGGGTATCCTTCAAGCTGACAACATCAAGCACACTGAAGTCAAGAAAAAGATTAGAGGTGAATACATCAAGAGAGTGAAGAAGATCTTAAAGTCCAAACTCAATGGAGGAAATACCATAAAGGCAATCAACACCTGGGCAATTCCAGTCATTAGGTACACAGCTGGAATAGTGGACTGGACTCAAGCAGAATTACAAGCAATGGATAGGAAGACCAGAAAAATAATGACAATGAATCATGCCCTTCATCCACGCAGTGACATTGACAGACTTTATCTACCAAGGCAAATAGGTGGGCGTGGAATGCTACAAGTACATCAGATGGTTGAAGAAGAAAAAATGGCTTTGGAAGAATATCTGAAGAACAATGATGAAGATGCACTGAAATTAGTATATCAGGAAGGCTTACTGACTACTGGAGAGACCAAACTGGCCTACAAGAAAGACCAAATGAAGAACAGAATAGAGGCATGGGAAGACAAAGCACTACATGGCCAATACATTAAAAAAATAGCTGGGAAAGCAGATAATAACAAGACCTGGCAATGGCTAAGAGCAGGAAAATTGAAGAAAGAGACCGAGGGACTAATTCTGGCTGCACAAGACCAAGCCTTAAGGACAAATGCATATAGTCAAAATTGAGAAGACAGCAACAGACAGTAAGTGCCGCCTATGCAAAGAAGCTGAAGAAACAGTGGACCACCTGGTAAGCTGTTGCAAGAAGATTGCACAGACTGACTACAAGCAGCGGCATGACAAAGTAGCAACAATGGTGCATTGGAAGATCTGCAAAAAATATCATTTGCCTGTAAGCAAAAACTGGTGGGATCATAAAATAGAAAAAGTCATAGAAAATGATAAAATTAAACTGCTCTGGGACTTCAGAATTCAAACAGACAAGCACTGCAACATAACACCCCAGACTTAACAATTGTCGATAAGAAAGACAAAAAAGTCTGGATAGTGGATGTGGCAGTGCCTGGAGACAGCAGAATAGATGAGAAAGAACTGGAGAAGATAACAAAATACAAAGACCTACAAATAGAAATAGAAAGACTGTGGCAAAAGCAAGCAAGGGTAGTACCAATAGTAATAGGCTCCTTGGTGCAATCCCAAAACAACTGGAGCACCACTTGAACACCATTGGCATTGACAAATTCGCTATTAGTCAATTGCAAAAGGCGGCCTTACTAGGAACTGCTTCCATCCTGCGACGATACCTGTAATACCATCAAACATCCACATCTGCCTATCCCAGGTCCTGGGTAAGGACTCAATAGGTAGACAAAATGCCAAATCCAGTCTGAACATCTGGCTGACTGTGCGATGATCCATAATAATAGTTGGAAGGGACATTGGAGGTCATCAAGTCCAACCCCCTGCTCAGGCAGGAACCCTACACCATTTCAGACAAATGGCTTTCCGGTCTCTTCTTAAAAACTTCCAATGTTGGAGCATTCACCGCTTCTGGAGAAAAGGTTGTTCCACTGGTTAATTGTTCTAACTGTCAGGAAGTTTCTCCTTAGTTCTAGGTTGCTTCTCTCCTTGATTAGTTTCCATCCATTGCTTCTTGTCTTGTCTTCAAGTGCTTTGGAAAATAGCTTGATTCCCTCTTCTTTGTGGCAGCCCCTGAGATATTGGAACACTGATATCATATCCCCCCTTGTCCTTCTCTTCGTTAAACTAGACATACCCAATTCCAGCAACTGTTCCTTATATGTTTTAGCCTCCAGTCCTTTGATCATCTTTGTTGCTCTTCTCTGTACTCTTTCTAGAGACTCCGCATCTTTTTTACCTCGTGGTGACCAAAACTGGATGCAGTGTTCCAAGTGTGGCCTTACCAGGGCATTGTAAAGTGGTATTAATACTTCACGTGATCTTGATTCTATCCCTCTGTTAATGCAGCCTAGCACTGTTGGCTTTTTTGGCAGCTGCAGCACACTGCTGGCTCATATTTAAGTGATTGTCTACTAGGACTCCGAGATCCCTCTCATAGTTACTACTATTGAGCAAGGTACCCCCTATACTATACCTGTACATTTGGTTTTTCTTGCCTCAATGTAGAACCTTACTTTTTTCACCATTGAATTTCATTTTGTTAGATAGCGCTCAGTGTTCAAGTCTGTCCAGGTCCTCCTGTATCTTAAGCCTGTCTTCTGGAGTGTTGGCTATTCCTGCCAGCTTGGTGTCATCCACTAATTTGATGAGTTCCCCATCTTTCCCCTTGTCCAAATCATTGATGAAGATGTTGAAGAGCACTGGGCCTAGAACAGAGCCCTGGGGCACCCCACTACAGACTTCCCTCCATGTAGATGCGGTTCCATTGAGGACCACACGCTGAGTATGGCCGGTCAGCCAGCTACGGATCCATCTGGTGGTGATGCTGTCTAACCCACATTTTTCTATCTTATCGAGTAGTAGGTTGTGATCTACTTTATCAAATGCCTTACTGAAGTCCAAATAAATTATATCCACAGCATTCCTCTGATCCACTAATTTTGTCACTTGGTCAAAGAATGCAATAAGATTTGTCTGGCATGATCTGTTTTTGACAAACCCATGTTGGCTTTTAGTAATGACTTTGTTTGCCTCTAGGTGTTCGCTGATTCGTTGTTTGATTATCTTTTCTAGAATCTTCCCAGGTATTGAGGTCAGGCTGATAGGTCTGTAATTTCCTGGATCCATTTTTACTGGAAATGGATCCAGTGGAAAGGTGTATTATAGAAAGGTATAATCCAAATGGCTACAGAATTCTAGACTTGGAATTGCCCACTCTTCATCTTTATTTTTGCCTCAGACCAAGGTCCAAATTTATATCTCCATTCACCACTAGGTGGAGCTTAGAAAGAAACTTCTCTTGAACACAATAAGAATGTGACTCAAAGCTTCTGTGGCTGCTGATATCAACCAGGGGGATGGCAATCAGATTTCTCCTTAGTTTGTTTTCAAAGGATGTTACTGTTTGGAATAACCTGTTACTATAGACTACTACCTTCATTTCCATTTCCATCTGCATTTCACCTCCATGGAGGTTCTCTTGTATGTATGCAACTACTTTGCACAATAATTTAGAGGATCAGTTGGTTACCAGCCAACTGTCTTCAGTTTCTTATTCTATGACTTTATAATTCCAGTGGTAGGTACCAAGAAACCAGGCAGATTATTTCTTTTTTACTCCCAGAAGGAACTGGAATGATGAAATTGAGAAAAAACACAATAAACCAAAGTGTGTGGTAGGGGCAGGAAGGCTTTACAGTTTGAAAGAGGGAGGCTTATTGAAGTGGGGGCACTTCAATAACAATGGGGCAAACAGGACCAGTGCAACACAGGGCCAGGGTAATTCAATTTTAATTTTGAAAATGGGCAGGGTTTTTTTCCAAAATGTTTTTTTTAAATTGGGGGGGGGGGGGAATAAACATACTATGAATTGGGACAATGTGGAACAAAGCCCACACTCTTCAC